GGCTGGAAAAAAACGGCTGGGGCCCCCCCCCCCCCCCCTTAAAATAAATACTGACAAAGTCGACAAATCCGTGTTTCCGTTGTTGTTCAAGGAATTGTACACAAATGCATTACGTCCAGCATATTGTACCGGCGGCTTTGCTAAGGCCGATGTCTTCCCTTATGACAAACGGGATATACTTCGAGAAAAAATATCGTATTCAACGTCATCGTCATCATTGAATAGGCGGTTGAATTTAACAATGGCATTGTCAACTGAATATTTGGTACCTGTTGCAGTTGAGGATCAATGTAGAAGAAACAACAGATGTTAGTCGAACGGTAGATGATAGGCGAATGATAGACAACAATGTAATTGGATATCGTCGGTTAAGAAGATCTCCATCAGCTCCAACCCTCAGTTACGTCATCAATAATTGCCTCGTCATTTTCATTACTTAATGCATCCGAAGGTGAATGTGGTAAGAAATCTGTTTTGCTACTCTTAGTGAGGTAAGACATTTTTTTTACAGATCCGTCTTCGTCGCTGTCAATTGATTCTAGTGTTAAAACAATTAAAAGCTTGGTCGAACCTGTATCTCCAAATAATAGTAAGATCTTTTCCGCTTATTAAGTTACATTACATCATTTTTTCTGATAGATGATTAGTGCTTATTGATTCAAAATGCTATAGCGACAACCTTGCAACGTTATTTAACACCGACAGTTGTACGTGATACTCAACGGAAAGCCATGATTCCTAGGAATTCCGGTGAGAGTTTGACAAGCGTCGATGCGTTACATCGACTTCAAGTCATAGATGCAGAAAGAGAAAAAAGAAAATCAAAATTGGCCGAGAAAGCGGCAAAAAAACCTCGGACAACCAAAAAAAAACCTGTTTCAAACTTATCGGGTAAACCTGTCCTGCAGCTGAACCAGTCATCGCTCCCTTATCCTCGACAATTTCTCTATTACGACCAACATCATTTTCAATATATAAGTCCCATCTGCCTTCAAGTTCATTTCCAAGTACTTCAACAACAGTCTACTCATCATTTCCAGGGGAAATACACAGTTTCGTCGATATCTCAGCAGCAACTTGTGGGCAACAGCCAAATATGTATTGTTGTGTTTGCATGCAGCAAATACAACCCTATTTGACAACATATTAAAGTTGTGCAAGTTGTAATAGTGTTATCTGTTTTCCTTGTCGTCAATTTAGTCAATCACCATCTAGTGGTTGCAATCGAGATGTGATATGTGGAGGCAGACCAAGAATATGTACCTCATTACCAAGTGCCAGTTTCATTATTCTGTAGGATAAATGTGAGTCGTGATTATCCATTATCAACAACAAAGAGCGTTTGATATTTTTTGTCTCTTTTACAAACTCTTTAGAAAACAGGTATAGAATACTGACTCTTCCATCCAACCCGATCCAAAATAAATGAGGTAAAGGTAAATAGTGAACATATCAATAAAGTTGTTTGTTCAACAATACAAAACTATCCATTGCTATCTTTTTTTTGGAAACATCGCGGTTTATGCAAATCGGCGAAGACATTCATCGCGTAACCGGATCTACCACAAAGTGTTTCTTTCGTTAACTATATGTGTGAAAAAACGATGCGCGTTATTTAACACCGACAATTGTACGTGATACTCAACGGAAAGCCATGATTCCTAGGAATTCCGGTGAGAGTTTGACAAGCGTCGATGCGTTACATCGACTTCAAGTCATAGATGCAGAAAGAGAAAAAAGAAAATCAAAATTGGCCGAGAAAGCGGCAAAAAAACCTCGGACAACCAAAAAACAATGAAATGTCTTTGAATGGATCACAGTATGAGCAGAGGGACACTCTAGCTTCTCTTTTATTCTCTTGTTAAGCTCATCCAAAACAATCATATCTTGTCTCAATAAGGCTAGAAAAAGGGAAGAAGAACGAAGAGGTCTGTAAGTTCTTCGAAGAGAAATATCGGTTGTCAAAATTTCGGCATAAAAAACAGGTACATGGTTATTAAAATCACAGAACAGAGATGAAAGACAGAACGAAAACCGATGTTAGCAACGGGTTCGCTTCACTCATTGTTGAGAAGACTTCACGAACGGTCGAGCGCGTTTCGAGGCATTACGACTATTTACTGTCGATCGCCGGATCGGAGCACTATCTTTGACAGGAGCAATCGGCGAGGAATCGGCTGTCGACGAAATGGAATTTCGAGCGGAACGTTGACGCTGATAGTGTTGAGGTGATGACGTTGTCTCTGAATCTGTGGAATCCTCTTCGGCGATCGAGTGGCGCGAACTTGGCTGTGTTTGTTCCACCGCCATGTCTCTAAGATAATTCAGGTGGCTACATTTGGTCGTTGACACATGTTTCTGGAAATTGCAGAGTTGAATGCGATCGTCGTTGACAGACAAATGGATTGATCTGTGGCATCTGCATTTTATCGCAGGTTTTAATCCGCCGTTTTGGAACAGTTGGGACATTTCCTCCAACTGACTTTTGGACGGTTTGATTCGCAACGCACTGATGTCGAAATCGCGGAGGATGGCGATGTCAACTAGTTGCTTCACACGAGAGAGGAACATAGGCGGATGCCACTTCTCTCATTCTAGGAGGGATGTACAAGTCGATGATGATCTTTGCTAGTGTTTGACCTTGACTTTTATGCGTGGTGATGGAATATGCAGGAACTAGTGGTAGACCCCGTCGTTTTACATTAATGGTAGTCGCACTGAATGTCTTGATTATCGAAGCCTTGTCAGAATACAGTTGTTCCAGGCTAACGGTGAATGTTTTGTCGACGACAGGAATAGGAACGATTTGAGGTTCAAGATTTTCAAAATCTTTCATTTTCGACTTGGGTATTTCGATCAGTGCATAATGTGCGTTGCGGATGAAGAGTGTATCGTTGGTAAAGGTACTCTCGTTCGAACCCGATGTATGTTCTGCTGTTTCATCGTAAACTAACTTGCGGAAGATGCCTGGTGTACCATTCGAAAGACTAAGTTCACAAGCAATGTTATCTTGCAATAAAACAGGCGTGTCAGGAACGAGTGGCAGATAACCAGGAATAGGGTCAGGCTTGTTATCAGGCAGTGCCAGAAGACGTTTACTCTGGTCGAGAAGATCCAGTTCTTTTTTTGTGTTGATTGTATCTAGAGCCACAACTACGGTTGGCGGTTGACCGGCCTTACTGATGACTGCTTGATTGTTCAATTCGGTCCGCAGTTCATTACGATACACGAGGACTGGAGCCTAAAAGCAGAATAGTTCAGTATGAGTATCAACACAGAATGCTCATTCTGGTGCTCTTTCTACTCAAAACATCCTTCGATCAGAGTTTCTGTGATTCTAAGAAGAGTGACTAGCTTCGAGGGGATGAAAGAGTCTCATACCTCATTCAAAGGTGGATCGTTGAGAGATTTGAAGAGCTTTCCCAATCACTCGTGTTTGAAGTAAGAGTCAATCTCCGTACGTTCCTTCGCCCTTGCGAAGCCTGCCTAGTAGATCTTGATAAGTTCGATCGACTGTTCTCATCTGTTGTTCGAGTATGACAACACAGTTAATTTGCAGAATCAATGCACGAGCACTCTTCTGCTGAATATCGTTTTCTGTCGGTGGTTTCTTGATTCCAGTTGATGAATTGCTCATAGTTGACGAATAATCATAGTAAAGGGGTCGATCGAATACAGGAGAATATTGCATATAGTCACCAAACAAAATAAGATTAACACCACCAAATGGATCAATAGGACCAGCGTGTTTAGCTGTCGCGATAACGTTACTCCATCGGGCCAGCAAGCTTAGACCAACCATGGATATCTCGTCGAGAATGACATATCCAACGAAGCGCCATTCATTTTCTAACTTGGTTTGGCCAGCACGATCCGATTTGGACTTTCGCTTGTTGTTTCTTCCCTCGCCTAAGAACGACTGAACGGTCATTCCATCAATTTCAGCTGCTGCCACTGATGCTGGAGCGAGTTTGCACAGTTTTCGTGCTCGTTTTGTTTCAACGAAGTAAGCAGTAATGGCTCGTATCAACTGAGATTTACCAGTACCACCACATCCGGGTACGCACATGATGAGCTGCTCCTGACTACCATCTGAAATTCAAAAGACGCGGTGCACGCGACGTTCTCCTACGTAGAAACTGTGTTCATATTCTCTTTCTGGATCGCATCTACACCATCCAAAGGGCTCGTAATGATCATGAATGCTGCCGTTTGATTTTTGTTCAGCGTGAATGTTCGTGTGATCTGTTGTCGAGTAGGATCACTTGATAAAGAGATTGCTTTGACACATTATGTGTAGATAGGGTCGCAGGACACATTATCATCATCATTCAAAAGAGTCGCTGCTTCGACCATCGTCACTGACTGATCTGCATCAGCAGTACTTTGCATTGTAATTCCATCGTTTTCTTCCTCGTTGATGCAAGCATTCCGTTTTTGATCTTTTTCTTTGGTGATCTGACGTTGCCATTTCTTGTTCAGTTGGATAAGTTCGGCAGTAGCTGGTCTGAGGAACTGTCGATCACAGACCAATTCGTTATTAGATCACTTAGTGTACGTCAATGGTTTAGATCGATCGAAAGCAGAATCAAAAAACGTAGAGAAGAGACTATCTTCTTCGCCCAAGAAATAGACACGTCTTACTGTGAATATGAGTGAATCTGTTTGCTCGGTCAACTGCTTCCATCGTCTTTTGGAAATACTTGTCTTCTGATTTCAATCCTGGCTGTTCAATGTATGTGAGTTCATGCATATTGATCCCAGCCAAAACGTCCAAGCTTTCTTCTTGCTCTTCATCGCTCTCGTTGTTCATCTCACTCGAATGAGTGTACTGATGGATAGTTTCTGTTTGCATAGCTTCGATCACTTGTTGCGAGTGTTCATCTCGGTCCTTCTTGCATTCATGCAATAGCCGGATGTTCTCAATGAACTTGCACGATTCGAGTGTAATATTTTGTTGATAACTATCAAACACTTGCTTCCAAGTTTGATCTAGTCCACAGATGTCGAGCAACGATCGCCAAGGGCAAACAGAGTGAGAATAGAACAAGAATAGCGTTCTTGTGTTTCTTCACGATCTTTTCGGGTATAGGTGGGCCGAGTAAGACAGGAACGACTGGTGACATACGTTTGATATTCATGCGCGAAGATGCCTGAGGATGCTCTGTTTGGAAAAACTCTCGTTCCGCTGGTGGTCTTGGCTTCTTGCGGTAGCAACGTACGTAATCATACAAAGGGACATTCTCAAGCGCCGCTGAGCGATATTGATAGTTTATGCGAGTGTTGACAAATACGTATTTGGTCGAGGATTCGCTGGGTTGTACAAGAAACTGTTCTTCAGTATCGTTCAAGATTTCTTCGTCATCGTCTGATACACCTGGTGTTTCTAAATATTGAAGTGTCGCCCCAACGTGGTGGAAAGAATGAATCTCGTTACCCATCGGTTTCTTAGAACGTTCACTGATTAAGGCCGATGGTAGATAATTTTCAACACTGATGAGATGAATATTGACAAACTCATGTGTAGTGTAGTGATCAGGCCAGCCCATCAGATAAGAAGCTACCTGCATACTGAAGAGCTCTTGTTGGGAGGCGAGCGTATTGTAACAACGAAGAACGAGTCTTCGGGACTTCTCTTCGGCACTCATGCAACTGGAACCGGTAAGCGACGAGTTTTCCATCGATTTCACTGCTTTGAGAACCAGAGAAAATGTATCATGAGATGATAAGTTTGTCTTTGTTACATAATCTGTGATGTAATAGACGAGTGCCTTTGCATCACTACCATTGAATATAAACTTGATGTCCATATTCGAAAGGCATGCACTGATGATATATTCATTGAAGTTGTTCATGGTAGCATGTAACCGTCTCAATTTGGTCTCCCCTGATTTGAAATCGATAAATGATTGCTCTACGATTTGTTGCGGCATGCGCAACAAACCGTAGAGGCAGGAAGGATCATCGCGTATCTTCGAGTATTTATAACACGTTGCCGAGTGCTTGCGGACATTGCCACTGTTGACTAACTGAATGATATCCTCTCTGAAGAGTCGTTTGTAATGTGGCAACGGTGGATTGGGTGTCGGCATGATGGCTGGCGGCTGATTCTCGAATCCCTGATTCGAGTTTTCAGTATCTACAAGTTCAATCTCTATATTTCTTGGTGATGATTTTGAGTGAGTAGAACTGCGCGCGAATACGCTGATCCCATGACGTGACCGCCAACCGTCTTGATCTGCTGTAACATCATATTGATGCGAGCGTTCGGGAGGGAAGAGAGTGGTTTTTTCATAAAGGTCATCAATGTTGATTCGATTTCATGTCTAGTGATGATCTGTAGGTTCGGAGCAATATCCCAAAAATAGGGTCGTGTCGCCATTAAAGAAGCTTTAAAACATGCTTGTCACCGTTGGATCATGTTGAAGAGAACAAACATGAACGAATGATGCTTTTCGAAACGCCGATCGTCCAATGCTAGCAAGTAACGGATATGTTGAATCAGTGATGCCTTCGTCTGCCGCGATGAGTCTTCGGGCACTCCGCATTCGTATGGAAAAAGTGTTGAATATAAACCATGCAAGAGCTTCGGATTCGAGAAATCGTTCGCTGGCTGTTTGGAGCGAGGTATCATGTACACAAGTTCTTCCTCTTCGTTGGTTTCTTCGGATGCCTCTATAGATTAGTTACTGAGCAGATGTCCACTGAAGGTGCAGCACGAAAACACGAGAGAACAACGATGATGGCTATTGATAGTTAATAAGCAACGCACCTGTCTGCGGGAAAATCCAAGGGGGAAACGGCTGACTCCGAGTCCATGATAATTACTGGAAAGACTACTAGCATACTGAAAATTAGGCTAGAATAATCAATTGAGATTTTCAGCATTGAAATACTGCCTGGAGTACTATCGGGAGTACGGGAGCAACCGAACTCGGGTTCGGTGTGAAGGTGAAAACAAAACGAGAACAAGCGAACTCATGTTTATATAAGGCGCCGCTAATTCAAAGGATATACATGTTTTTATTTGACCTTTTTAGTACGAGAAAGTCAGATCTTCATGGAGAAAAACGCTAAATACTGAAGGTGGGTCGGAAACCTGAAAATATCGAAATTTTGCGAAACAGTGCACCAATTTCCCACACCTGTTACAACTTTTTTAAACCAACTTTTTCGGATTCTCCATCATACATAGCTCCTAAGAATGTGTCTTTCAAGGACTTCTGCCGTAAAATAAAATTTTCGTAGTCCCTCTAATAGGGGCCGGTCTCAGTTCTAGTTCTCAAGCTTGCGGCTCTTTCTCCTAAGACGGGTAATCACCTAGACACTTTATTTTGGTATCAAAAGATTCGCCCTGAAATGTAGAACATGTTACGAAGAGTTTTTTCCGAAACTGTTTTTCGTTTCGGAATAAGCGGGCTTTCTTTTAAAAACGGCACGTTCCAACGGAAAACGGCCAATTGATTTTTTTATAACTCCCACTGTTTTCGTCCAAGCCGAATCAAATTTTTAACAGATTACAGATAAAAAAATATGGGGAATCTAATAAGAATCACGTCAGATCTCTATGCGATCTCTGGAGGGTCTCTAGAAAACATTTCTGAAGAGAGCGGTCTTGTAACCACAAAGCTGAATATTCAACACGCGTAAGACATCTTGCACTCATCCTGGAAGGAAGTGGGAACAATTTCGATTGGTCCGAGCAGTTAGCCAACGGCCATGCATGAGGATGCTGGCCGGATTTTTTGGATCATATAAACGAAGTTATGGCATTTTGTGAACAAAACTGCAGTATAAAATGTTTAAGTGTTCTGTTGTACATGTCATTGAGACATTTCAACATTCCATGTCGTGACGTCGATGTTTTTCTAAGTGAAATTGGAGGGTACAGAGCTGCAACATGTCACAAGCAAACGGACAGATTAATCAACTACGGTTTTGAAAGATTTGCGGCTAATGCACGAGGTGGTAAGCGTGGTGACTCTTTTTGGGATCAGTAGCCACACATTGAGGAGGAAGCACGCGAATTTACTATTCAAGCTTGTACGAGAAAAGCTGCGGCATTTACGGTCGAAGAACTAGCTCAGTTTATAGACAACAAATATTACGAAATTGATGGCTTTCTAAAAGACGGTTCAGGCTATATTTGGTCTGTCCAGAGCTGTCGTCTTGATCTGAACGCTTGGGGCATCAGCTATTCGACGAACAAAAGCCGTCCCGAGTACTTAGGCCACGAGAGAACAGACGTTATTGAGCACCGTTAGCAAATAGTTAATTATTTTCTGTCCAGAGAAAAGTTTTATTATCAAGTTTCAGAAGGGAGTGCTCCAAAATGGGTAGACCCACCGGTTCCCGAACCAGTTATTCTACTGTGCACGTAGCGCACTGGCTCTTCCCGGCGTTTGTCTCTTACTCGACCGTTTTTCCTTTTTCTTTGCAGGTTACGACGAAAGTACTTTTCGTTCTAACGAGATTTCTCACAAGCGCTGGATGGCTGAGGGCCACGAACCATTTTTTGTCAAAGGAAGAGGAAGATCCCTTATGGTTTCTGATTTTCTTGTCGATCATCCGTCATCACCATTCTTCCGTCTGATCGATTTTGAATTTCGTGCAGCCCTTAAAAAAGTACCCGGAGCTTTCAAATACCTCGGGAATAAACTACGAGCCAAATTCAGCTACTGCATCCATTGCAATTGAGTTCAAGAACTGTAAAGTTGAAGTTTTAGTCGACAATGCCACCACCCACACTACGAAACTGTATTCACTGAGTGACTTTCCAAAAGGAGAAGGATATCGTTGTCCTGTTGACTACATAGAATGGTCGGACCAGAATAATAAACATCATAGACTCAGTTGTTATTATCCGTCGGACGTTAAAGAAGGATGTTCAAAAGGGTTGCTAGTGATTGCTAAAGAACTCGGGTTCGGTGTGAATGAGAAAACAAAACGAGAACAAGCGAACTCATGTTTATATAAGGCGCCGCTAATTCAAAGGATATACATGTTTTTATTTGACCTTTTTAGTACGAGAAAGTCAGATCTTCATGGAGAAAAACGCTAAATACTGAAGGTGGGTCGGAAACCTGAAAATATCGAAATTTTGCGAAACAGTGCACCAATTTCCCACACCTGTTACAACTTTTTTAAACCAACTTTTTCGGATTCTCCATCATACATAGCTCCTAAGAATGTGTCTTTCAAGGACTTCTGCCGTAAAATAAAATTTTCATAGTCCCTCTAACAAGGGCCGGTCTCAGTTCTTTTCAATAACTCCTTGACATCTTTAGACGTAATTCGCTACAATAACTCGTAAAATGCATCTCCCGCAGGGAGAATACGTTCATAGGCAAAATAGAAAGATCAATGCCAGGGATTTGAGATCTTTTTTTGCGATATTGAAACATGATGACCAAGATAAAAAACAAACAACGAATAGAGAAACGAGGAAGGAAAGATCGTTATGACGAAGATGAACAGGCTCGTTGACGTAAGAGAACGAAAAAAATGGGAAATTCAAAATCTGAACCCGGCGAACTGACAAAAACACGTGGTGTACACTTGTTATACTAGTGGAAATAATTATTTTTTGTTTCTCCCGGTAAGAAGTAATTATTTCCACTAAGATTTTTGTCGAATAATGTTGAAATAACTATTATTTGTTTATTTGTCTCATTTTCTTTTTCTCTTTTGTTCACATAATTTCGCTTAATAAAAATGTGGATACAGTGTATTGTGTTTCTCTTAAGTAAGTGAGAATTGAGCAACTGTATTTCCGTTGTGGAAAAAATTTAAGCTATCGTGGATGCAATTTTTTAAAGGCCGGGGGCACTGCCCTACCACCCACAGATTCCCGGTTACGCCACTACTTCCAAAATCATTAGTTTCCACTAAAACTGTTGAAACTTTCATAAATGGCATGGTTTTGTAGTCTAGTTGCGTTGATGAAAACAAAAAGATTTCTCAAGCTGGCCGTAGATGCTGAGGTCTTCAAAGACCTTAAAAACCGCAGTTACAAAACATTGAAGTTATATAATTTCGATTAGTTTGGTCGTCTGGTACGTGTGTGCCAATCAAAATCATGTCATTTATGAAAGTTTCAACAGTTTTAGTGGAAAACTAACGATTTTGGAAGCCATTTTAAGCCGCTGCCTGGATATTTCTGCCATAATTAAGAAATAGTTACCACAAAGTTAACTAACTGATAGTTACCGTTATTTCAACGAAAAGAGAGCTAGCGTTAAAACAACGGTAACTGTCTTTTCAGTCACCGTAGTTTTAACGGTAACTGTGTTGTCAGTTAGCGTTAAATCAACGCAACGGCAACTTTTACAGCCCTAGACCCAAGTTCCAACCCCTGTAACTCGGAAGTACAAGGTGGTTTAAAAATAGTTTTTATTATAAGAAATAATTTATCAATACACGTTTTACAATTCAGTTTATGCCTTCGATGTTTCGTAACTTTTTCCATACAACGGATTAATTAATAATTGCCCTACGTTTCTTTCATTTGTTTTAGAATGCACTCTAAGTGTTGACCCACGTTCATTGGAAACTCTTTGACGATATAATATAAAAGCGATAAGTCCCACGAGAACAACACTAAACGAAACAACAACTGAAATAATGATTGCTAATTTATGATTCGATTGTGGTTTGCTCTCAGGCGTTGTCGGTTTCGGTTTTTGTTCTTCCGTTTTTGTATAGTCCGTTGATGGAAAAGACAGTAAAGATGAATTTGTGGGTATCCAGGTACTTTCGGTCGATGTGAATGTACTTATTCTAAGTGAGCTCATGCTTGTTGATATTGTTGTTAAGTCCGATGCCGTTGAGTTGTGATTGGTTTTACTTGTGATGGTGGTTGTTCAGGCTCATCCATAAAGGAAGCCTAAGCAGAAGACATATGTTTGTGCATGGGATCCGCCCGCGCCTTGGACATTTAACTGAAAAGATTTTGAAATAAACTTTAATATTTGGGCTATTGTTTTTTAAACAGTACTATTTCGTTTCAAAAGATGAATTCTAATTCAGAAATGAAGTTGTGAATTAAATGTGATTATTTTAAAATGTCACTCATGATAAACCTTTCTTTTTTGATCTAAGAGTTAAGGAAAAATAAAAGCTTTTTCTTTGCTAACAAATTTTCCCTAAAGATCGAGAATCAGTGTAACGACTTCCCTTCTTCGAACTCAGTCAAAATGTTCATCTGTTTAACCGAGTCTATGTTTCTAGTGAAAAGCTGTGAAACGAATGCTTAACGTTATTATGAGGTTTCCAAAACGCCTTCTGGTTTCGAGTTTTTAACAAAAGGTTACTCTTTCAGCCAACATACCATTTTCAATCCAAACAAATAGTTTTCAGACAGTGCAGGTTTTCTTTGTTTTCTACTAAACTTTGACGTATACTTAGGTGAAACGAGTGGAAAACCTAAACAAAGTATGATACTTTTCAAGAATTTCGAACTTCGAGAAAGAACTCAAACTTGCGTACTTTCGAAGAAGACACTTTGAACTATCTAACCATGTATTTTAAGGCAAAGTTTCATGTTGATTTTGGTAGCTGGTGAACTCTTATTTGTTCACCCGTGAGGTGCACTACGTGAAAATCGACTTTTTGAAAGCCCCCATATATGAAAAGATGCAGCAAATATCTACAAGATGGCAAAAATCATCTTTCCCTCTATCATCGTTCGTTCTAAGTTATTCAAAAACATTCTCGTCCATTATATTTTGAAAGGGATAATAGTTTGTTCTTATTAAACAGCGACTCGTTGTCGTGGTCGTAGAAATCAGGAGCAACGTTTCTAGTTCTGAACGCTCAAATCAGATAAGAAGAAATAGTATCAACTGAAGAATGTGTCCAAGAAACATTTCAGGATGCTCAAACGTCTGACGGGACGTAACGAAATAATTTCATTTAACTTTACGTTGTTTCTACCAAAAATAATTATTTCAATAAAATCGCACTGCACACTAGCTCTAGTGGTACTCATTGCAACTCAGTTTTGAACATATTGCTCAGATTTAATTTCAGCTTAAAATAGCAGGAGAAAAAATTATGTTTTAAATTGAAGAATTTTTCAAATTTGATTTCTTTTCGCTGTTATCTTTTTTTAAAATTCTTGAAAAGTATCATATTTTGCTTAGGTTTTTCTCTCGTTCTAACTCGTTCTAACTATACATCAAAGTTTAGTAGAAAACAAAGAAAAATCAATCAAATAGAAAAATTCTAGACTTTTTGGAAATTTTTAGAAAAAGAAGTTCATAGCGCAGCCATTTGGATTTTCTAAGTTTTAAAAATTGGGTTGTGGCTAACCTTCTGGCTCTTTTCAATGAGATTTTTATACACTGTGGACATATTTTTTTGATCGCATGATGTGACCTGTCCTGCTTGATTACAGTGTGGACTGGCATTTAAGTGTTGACGTTTTTTTCCACGAATCCATAGCATATTATTCAGACCGTCATTTTTTTGGCTTGATGCTTACTTGAATGCGCGCTATGTCTCGTTTACCATTTATTCACGTGGACGTCATTAATGAACCATATGTTAACTGCGAAGTGCCTGTTTGTATTAGAGATATGTTTGGATAATAATCCGGATTCGCTGATGGTGTTGTCAATAGTGGTGATTTTTCTGTTGATATCGCCGTTGGAACTGTAGAATGTATTGTACCTGATGGACGATCGATGAATTCAAAATATAATTTTATACCTTTACCATTTGAATAACTGGATATTATTAATTGTAGTATTAACGTTGAACATGTTTTGAAAAGAAACTTTGTGTGAGAACGTCCACATATTTCATTTGTTGCATTATCGTATATTAGCATAAATTTATCTTTCTCACATATCTGTCCTAGCAGCGGCATGGTCAATTGCATATCAAGTAAATAGACATAAACATCTTGTTTATCCAATGGTTGAATTGTCAATGAGCAATTCATATTCGATGATGAATTTGAGGAATTGGGTGACACGATATATCCACGTTTCACTGGTTCTTCGTTTGTTGGCTGTATAAACAGATCATAACATATATTATATTCTCTGATATCAGGGACAGTATTTGGCACACATGTGTAATTCAAATGTAAATAGGTCGATTTACGATTGTGACATAATGTCAATGTTTTATCAAAATAATAAACTAGACACGAATTTTTCCCTGCACAAACTACAATAGTCGTAGAATCGTCATTCTGGAAACAATCACCGGGATCATAGGAACAATTAGTAGTTAAAGTATCCTTAACTCCATAAACAGCTGTAACAATATCAATTACATAACCTGATGGACATTTCAATTGTTGTGATTTTCCCGAGCAAATATCACTTAACGTCGATGGTGTCACTCCTAAATCACAATAGCCCCATTGGTTGTCTTGGTCAAAATTAGAGGTTAATGAACACCAAGGATCAGTCGATAAATCGGTTACTGTTGTTGGTGGTTGATCAGTTTTAATGCAACTACTCGTCAAGTTACCTTGGTAAATAAATGGAAATATACAATATTGTCGAGTACCATTAGTAGTGCCACCATATGTCCAAACTAAATATAGGACAAATTAGAATGATTAGCAACGGTATGAGATGAAAAACGTGTATGTAACATGTAAGATAGAATAAGAGTGTATGATGAATATAAACTAATGGTGTAAACTACCATCAAAGGTTTAAGATACGCCAAGATACATTTTATCCGTTTCAACATTTCATATACTTCACCTCAGCATACTTTCCAACGCATCACATAACAGATACCTTCCTCTAAAACACCAAACTACATCTGGTTCGTCTACCTGCGTACATATCATTCACTCCATTATTCTCTTCATGGCAAGAATTAAACGTAAATTCATTCTATACCACTCCAATACACTTCAACAATAAGCACAAAGTGGAAAAAACAATTTACTAACCAAAATGACTCTGATTCTTCAACGATGAACTGTTGAACTTTCATTCTCTTGTGATTAAACAATTGAAATAAAATAAGAAACATATTACTAACTTCTCTGACGTTTGACATTATCAATTCAAATTCAGACCTCGTGCAGTAAGCGACGTTTGTTGTTTATGCAATCATTATATCTCATACTATCTTTTAAACTTTTGAAAACATTTATATATCTATTTAGGAAATATTCTTTCGTTAATTAATAAAAGATGATGTGGGCAGAAAATTAGTAAAAGTGAGTGGGAAAAGAGTGTTGGACGTATGACTGGTAGACTGAAGTATTCAACCATTATTCATAATTTACTATTTTACTTTGTATCTAGATCACTAAATTTTCTCTTCTTCCACTATTTGTAGTTTCAGAGATTGAAAGCCCGTAGGAAAATTTGCAAAAGTTGAAATAGATGAGGTGTATGTAAGAAGATGAAAAAATACATAATAAGCATCTATAGCGAGTGTAACATTACACTCTTTATCGAACGAAAGTCAATCTTCGTTACACCTTACTCGGATATTCTGATAAGTCCTGTTGAAAAATAGCTGAAAAACTTTTTTTCATCGACATAGTAGAATTTGAGATAATATCAATCTCAATATTATTCCATTCTTCATTCAAAAATTGTTCAAATTTATCAATATTTTTTCTTTTCTTTTCTGAATACGATGTTTAACGGCTGACCGCGAGCTTTCAATTAAATTAACTGTTTGCTGACTAGTTGACATAATGCCTGTATATTGTTTAGTAATATTACTAGTGTGCTCAGAATCATTGTCTTGTTAAAAGCATCAGTTTCATCACAATATTTTCTAGCAAAAGGCAGATGACTATATCAATATAGTATGAATCATTAAAATTGTGTCTAAATGTATGACAAGTTACAGCATCTCACACATGAATTTTTGGAAGATGTTTTTATATATAATGAGCGTTGTAATTCTTGTTCTGGATGTTTCGACCGATGATGAACAGCATTTCGAAAGAGCCAAAGTGATAATTGATCTGTAAATATTGTATGTCTGTTTTAAATTTTTGGGAGAACTTTGATTTTTCAGCAAAATCTGAGCCGAAAGGTTCGAAAAAGATCGAAGTTCTCCCAAAAGCTTAAAACATATATCAGTTAATTCCCTTTTGGCTACTGATTCTAAATATGACATTGATTTTGCAAAAACCTGGACGGTTGATGGCAAAAAATCCAAAATACAAGTTCATTTCCTTACTTTTTGGTTGTATTACTTTGAGACTTCTTAAAATGTTTTCTACATGAGAGCTCAAACAGTGTCAACCTATTACGTTTGTAGAATTTAAAATACTCTTTAATTTGGTGAAACAATCATCCGCTAATGTTATTTAGTTTTTGAGATATACAATTTTTAAAATATCGACCAATCTGGGATCGAGTTTTTAACGTAAAACCTGACCTATACAGTATCTACTGGCCACTTCCTAGGAATAGTTAGAGAATGTTATTACGAGTTTACACAAGTAATTTAAACCCTAACTTCCGCATTATCACCGACTTATAAAAGAACTAATGAGCGAGGGTATCAAAAAAGGTGTGAATATCCAGATCTGAGTAACCATTGGTCCCATAAAAAAGCTAAGTACCCCAGTGGATACATCATGCCAAAAACGCCCCAGCACCCAGAGGATATCGAAACTCGCTAGATAGTTACTTCAGAATTTAAGAAACAATACTTGTTGCAAGTCCCCTATTACACGATTATCTCCACAAAAATTCAAAGTTAACTTACTGTCATTGTAAAATGATGTTTAGTTAATATTTCACGATGATACGTGTGGTCAGCACATTGAACAACAAATAGTCGAATGATAATTTCTAACGAGAATATATACCGAGCTACTTACCATTACTATCAATGGATGGTCCATTATTAATCATAAATTTTTGTACGCGATGATTGTTACTATCGGCAACATACAAATTACCATCTCGATCGAATTGCAATGAGCTTGGAAATGATAATTCATCGGCACCACTTCCATGACTCTGACCTGCAACTAATATTACATTTGTTGTTGTATGACTGAACCATTTCACTACACGATGGTTGCCCATATCACTGATATACACATTCGATTCAGCATCTAAAATTACTGATGTTGGATTATGAAGTTGATTCAAATTCGATCCCATTCCGTTGCCTCCTGCCACTGTGACACCTGTAAATGCGCCCGGATACCATAGTTGAATCCGATGATTGTACATGTCTGCTACATAAATATTGCCTGTATTGGAATCTATGAAAATGCCCATTGGGTGGTCCAATTGATTAAAAGCGTTACCCGGACCATTTCCGCCTGCTACAGTATCCCCTGTGGCATCTTCAGCATTAAATTTCAAGACTCTTTGATTCCAATAATCTGATAAGTAAAGATTTCCGCTCATATCTACAAACAGGCTGTAGCACACACTAAACTGATCTCGTCCAATAATTGTAGAAGCATGTGTAGATTTATTAGAAAATTTTTGTATCCTTTTATTAACATCGTCTGAAACATACAAGTTTCCTTCTGTATCAACAAAAACAGCATTTGGACTATCCAACTGATCTGAGTTGTTTCCATGACCATTTCCACCTGCTA